TCCCCCCCCCAAACCAACATCCACCCCCTATGTTAAACTCAGGGCTCCACCAATATCACACAAAGAACTACCAGTCAACACCATAGCGTTCTAAAGCATACATATATCCAAACGCCACATTCCATCAATTCCTCCCCCTCCCCCTTTCCCATACAATCCTCACACTCTTGAATAGAATTCTTTTTCAAAAAGAAAAAAATGTATACACATCTTCCTGTTCTTGTTTTTTCCCCTTACGTTTTCAAGTTTCGTTCACCTCAACCCATCACGCAGCTTATTATCTTAGACGACAGTGAGGATAAACAGAGCAAAAAGTCAACAACCCCCAAAATCTGTTCCCCACCCTCCCACGGGCAAAAGAAGGAAAACTGGGCACCGCGTGCTTGCCAATTATCTGCCTCACCAGTTGTACGCCTCACTTCCTGTTTAAAGACAAATTTTTGAACAGTTGAACTAATAAATGAATCGAAAAAGCTTTACGGTTAAATGCGTTGTATATCGTGTGTCCAGACTACAGAAAGCAGGAGCATTACAGCAAAAAAACAACAACAAGAATTGCAACAACACTAACAATAATAATAACAACAAAAACGAAATAACAATAACAACAAATACCAACACTTACACAAACAACAACAGCAACAATAGAAAGAATAGCAACAATAACAGCAAGAGCAACAACAACAGCAACAACATCAACAACAACAGCAACAACATCAACAACAACAGCAACAACTACAACACCAAATGTAAAGAAATTATGGGGGTTTAAAGATACATCGGAATTGAGATTGTAGAAATTGTATCAATTGAACAGATGATATTAGCATGGTAGTGACGTTTCAAAGAAAACAAAGCAATCAACGAAAACGTGTCAAGTCGCAGTATGGCAATTCAGGGAAGTAGATAATAAAATACACATAAGAAAGCTTTTTTCTGGGGAAATTGGCGAATCTGAAATTCCCAGGAATTCTTTTTCTGACGTCAACTCATAAAGCACAATACAGATCTACGTGCCCACCGTGTGTACATGCAGCATTAACCTAGTTACAACAGAGATTTGCTTACAGAAATCCCACATGCCTTTCAATCATAAAAGTACAGATACAGATTCAGACTTTTGTCAGTCTGCCAACATTTTGCAGTGACAGCTTGTTCACGATTGACACCATCAACAAATGGAAAGCATCATCTGTGAAGATGGTCTCTCAAACCTCTCATATCAACCCAAAACACACAAGAGTTAAGTCTGATAATAAGTAAAACCGGAGACGCCCAGAAAGTCCTTTAGAGGCACGTTGGGGGGGGGGGGGGGGGGGC